ACAGACATTGTTCTCTGCTGATTTTCTGGAGAACTTAGGACACCAGCTGGTTGGCTTTAGCACGCCGGAAAAATGGCGTTCCCCCCCCCCCCCCCACCCCGCCCCCAACACCTACCTGCCGGTCACTGCATTTTCACCCAGCTGACACCTTCACCTCCTCCCTCTCCAGAGAATGCAGCCACACCATCTGTGTGGGTTTCGGATCACTGCAGAAATGGCTCTGCAGGCATCAGCGCAGGCAATGCAGAGGCCTCCGTCCCAGGGTGTAGTACAGCAAAATGCCCCGTTCTCTAGGGTGGCACATATGTAGGAACTCGAGACGATGAGCGTTACCATGGGAGGGGAGGGGGGGTTGTCGGTGTCCCCAATAACATTGCTGAAGGCTTCCATCATGTTGACGTCAGAAGGACTGTGGAGACAGTCAACGTGATGCTCGTGGAGACAGCTGAGGGACAGCTGGAGGACCGAAACCAGGCTGAAAAGTCACGTCCGCTTCACCCACATACTCCACAGGTCACTTGTGCTGCGGAAGGATTTCTACCAGCATAACTAATTCCACGGTCGACACAGTATAACTGAAAGTCTTTAAACCACTAGGACACCAAGTGTAAGCAGCCAAAATATTTGCCTTGCTTTTTGTTTTGTTTTTTTCTGAAGCGACATACATGTTTGAGGAAGCAGAGTCAGACGGCACTGGGAGCGATCGGAGGGGTTAACGGCCTTGCTCAGGGGCCCAGTGGTGACATCACTCTGCCCATCCTTCGAAACAGGAGCACGGTATCCTACCCACCGAGAACCACACCGCACCGCAAACAAGGATCTGCCTTCTGAAGACTATTAAGCATTAATCAGGCACACTCTGCTTAGTTTTACTCTAAAAAAATTCCCATACAAAGTATTTTTGTTGTGTCATTATTATAATAATTATTAATTAAGCACTGCTGACCCGCTCTTACAACACCGGCGACGGCCGATCGCATTAACCGCTCTGGATATTAAAAAGCAAATAACCCAGAGTTCAGTGCAGCACTGAGGGAAAGCAGCTGGCGGTGATCACGGGGACGCCCCCGCCCCCGGCCCGTCCCGTCCGGGTCCGTCACGTCGGCGAATCCTGTCACTGATCCATTAGGCGGCGTGAAAGCAAGCCGGCGATTGTAAACACGGACCAAGCTGCCTGTCTGACTCGGCAGCTGCCCCTGAACCCAGCCTGTCAGCAGTACGCGCCGAAAAAGGGCGTTATCACTACGGCGTAGCCCATTTTTAAGCAGGTGATTTATGAATCCATTTCTGGGTGTATGAAAGCTCCGGGGCGGGGGGGGGGAGGGGGTCAAACAGGTGTGGAATTGAGCAGTAGCCTACAGACGGCCCAGATGGATGGCTCGGATGTAAAATCCTGCAAATTCAGAAGAAAAGATTAAAATAACACTGACAGCAACTGCTGCCGATAATAATAATAATAATAATAATAATAATAATAATAATAATGGTTATCAAGATTATTATCTGTCCTGACAGTATGATCATTTGCTTGTAGAAGAGGGACTGTAATCCCACAACTTGAAGGATCCGGCAGGAAAATTCCCGTCATTTATGCATCGTTGCTCTGTGAGACCCAACGCTGTGATGGAGGCCTGTTTGTCCCAGTGACACCGGCGGTCTCCCACTTCTGTAATCTTTTGGGTTTTCAGACCGATATACTGTAGAGCTTGTGGTCCTTTGCTTGAGTTTTTTTTTTTTTTTTTTAAAACTTCCTTAACATGGCTGAGGGCAGCATCGTCACGACAGCGGGATGACGGACGGATGTACCAAACGCGATGCATCCACAGCACCGCCATGTTAATAATAGCTGCAGCAAAGCCATTGTTCAAATGTTCCAGATCACCTCCAAAGTTCCCTTCAGGTAAAAGACACAACTTACACTTGCGACCGTCCGTATCTGGGAAACGGGTCAGCTAAGCTCTCCGGTTCATGGGCACTGGAAGCGGTCCGTCTCAGGGGTCCAGGCAGCACGGTCCATGATCCAAATCCGCGCTCCGAAAGCCCTACACCACCTCTGCTCTCTTGCATTGTTGATAGATATTACTGCATTACTGTGCTTGTTAGTATGCTTATCAGTACGCTTAAAGGAAAGCACAATTTGTTCAGGGGAACAAATTAGATGTGAAACACAAGTCCATTGGTTCTTGACCGCATTCGTTGTTTTAAAAATGATGCACTTAAAGCACCGCAGCTTGTACAGTTGTATACAACTACGATGAGACAATAATTATACAACCCTCAAACGCGGTCCTTCTCAAATTGCCAAACAAGTTACACTTGTACATGCACATCACATCGTTTCAAAATAATAGGTTTTCAAAAATCTCCCACGTGTCATTTCTCCACGTATGTAATGCACACCAGATTTCATCACGCTCTCGCAGTAATTAGGGCAAAGTAAATTGATTATTTGCAGAAGTCCAAACGAATATAATTCATTCTGATGGCTTTGCTCCGGCGAGGATGAGAAAAGTCATCTGCAATTTTAATCTTAACATTTTCACAGAATAGCAACTGCTTTTGATTATAAGATTTGCTAGCATGAAGCGCTTTTAATTTAGCCCTACATCAACATATATAAGCAATCTCGGGGAAAAAAACACTAATGAAATGTGCAAAGAGCCCATCGGAAACGAGCGGCGTCCCTCGTCGGCTCGCCAAAGAGGCGTCGATAAATTCCCTTCGTTCCCTATCACCGTTGAGGTTCTGTTTTAATAATTAGAGATTGAATTCACCAGATGGGGCATGGCAAACCAGCCGAATGAGATAGGAAAAGGGGAAAAGGAAAAATTGACTTAATTTATAGAAACTGAAGTCATAATAACAATGTGAATGTGTGCTATTAACGTAGTATTTACATTGATGTGTGAAATACTGCTACTACTACTATAGGCTATTACTAATACTTCTACTATAGGCTATTACTACTACTACTACTATTACTACTGCTACTAGTACTACTACTACTACTACTACTAGGCTACTACTACTAATAATAATAATAATAACAATAATAATAATAATATTAGTAACTCTTTCTCATCGCGTCCTTCATTTCCGCAGCCTTTAATCCATGTACACGTGTCGCCTTTTCTGACGTTTAAATAATTATTTGGTTATTTTGATTTGCGATTATTTCAGCTCGGCTGGCACAATTCTTTGTGTCTGCAACGAAATGCACGCCCTAAAAATACATACAGGTATTTTTACAGTATGTTTATGAGAATAACACGCAGCCATATTTTAGAGTTTTATTTAACATGGCATTTTGGG